GGGTTTTGGGGCAGAGGGGATCCTCCTCCAAGAGCGGAAAACGTGAGCCTAGGGGGGATTTGGGGAGATTTGAGGATTTTTTTGGATTTATTTGGGATTTGGGGTTTATTTGGGATTTATTTGGGTTTTATTTGGATTTATTTGGGATTTGTTTGGTTTTTTTGGGGATTTATTTGGGATTTTGGGGTTTATTTGGGATTTATTTGAGTTTTTTTGGATTTATTTGGGTTTATTTGGGGTTTTTTTGGGGGTTTGTTTGGGTCTATTTGGGATTTATTTGGGTTTTTTGGTTGGTTTGGGGATTTACTTGGGTTTGGGGGTTTATTTGGGTTTATGTGGGGTTTTTTGGATTTAATTGAGAGTTATTGGGTTTTTTTGGGTTTATTTGGGATTTATTTGGGTTTTTGGGTTTATTTGGGATTTATTTGGGTTTTTTTGGATTTACTTGAGATTTATTTGAGGTTTTTTGGATGTATTTGCGTTTTGGAGTTTACTTGGGATTTATTTGGGATTTATTTGGGATTTTGGGTTTATTTGGGATTTTTTTTGGCTTTATTTGGGGTCAATCCCGACAGGTTTGGGGGCTTTGGGACGAATCCCTGGGGATTTGGGTGGTTTTTTGGGGTGAATCCCGAGGGATTTGGGTGTTTTTTTGGGGTGAATCCTGAGGGATTTGGGTGGATTTTGGGGTGAATCCCGAGGGATTTGGGTGGTTTTTTGGGGTGAATCCCCAGGGATTTGGGTGGTTTTTTGGGGTGAATCCCCAGGGATTTGGGTGGTTTTTGGGGCGAATCCCCGGGGATTTCGGGTGCCCTGATTTTTGGGGTGAATTCTGGTGGTTTTGGGTCCCGCAGTGAAGGGGGACGACCTGCAGAGCATCAAGAAGGAGCTGGGGCAGATCAAGGCCAAGGTGGACGCGCTGCTGGAGAGCCTCGAGCGGCTCGAGCGGGAGCAGAGTGAGAAAAACAGACCCTTTTTGGGGAGAAAACGGCCGGTTTTGGGAAAAAAACATTGGGGCAAAAATGGCCATTTTTGAGGGAAAAATGGCCCATTTGGGGGGAAACCGGCACTTTTTTAGGGAAAAGGGCCCTTTTGGGGGAAAATGTCCTTTTTTGGGGGGAAAACGGCAGTTTTTGGGGGAAAGAAGGTTCTTTCGGGGGAAAATGTCCTTTTTGGGGGAAAACGGCCTTTTTTGGGGAGAAAAGGGCCCTTTTGGGGAAAATGGCACTTTTGGGGGCAAAACGGCCATTTTGGAGGGAAAAACAGCCCTTTTTGGGGAAAAAAAGTCCTTTTTGGGGGAAAACAACCCTTTTTTGGGCGAAAATGGCCCTTTTCTCTCCCCAAATCCCCCATTTTTTTGCCCCTAAATCCCATTTTTGTCCCCAAATCCCCATTTTTTTTCTCCAAATCCCATTTTTTGTCCCCAAATCCCATTTTTTGTCCCTAAATCCCCGTTTTTTCCCCCAACCCAGAGGCGAAGAGCGACAAGGGGGAGGAGGAGCAGGGGGGGAACAGCTCCCCCAAACCCTCCCCAAATCCCCCTTTTCTGACCCCAAATCCCCATTTTTTTTCCCTAAACCCCCATTTTTTGTCCCCAAATCCCATTTTTTGTCCCTAAATCCCCGTTTTTCCCCCCAACCCAGAGGCGAAGAGCGACAAGGGGGAGGAGGAGCAGGGGGGGAGCAGCTCCCCCAAACCCTCCCCAAATCCCCCTTTTCTGACCCCAAACCCCCATTTTTTGTCCCCAAATCCCATTTTTTGTCCCTAAATCCCCGTTTTTCCCCCCAACCCAGAGGCGAAGAGCGACAAGGGGGAGGAGGAGCAGGGGGGCAGCGGCTCCAAGAAGGACGAGGCCGGGGGGGGCCCCAAGGCCGAGGGGCCCAACGAGGACTCGGCCGAGGAGGGGGATCTGCTCGACGACGAGGAGGCCGAGGAGAGGGGGGACGAGCAGGTGAGACCTCCCAGTATGGACCAGTGACCTCCCAGTACAGAGCAAGGACCTCCCAGTACACACCAGTGCCCTCCCAGTGCCCCCCAGTACAGAGCAGGGACCCCGAGGAGGGGGATCTGCTCGACGACGAGGAGGCCGAGGAGAGGGGGGACGAGCAGGTGAGACCTCCCAGTATGGACCAGTATAGACCAGTGACCTCCCAGTGCCCCCCAGTGCCGTCCCAGTGCCCCCCAGTGCCCCCCAGTACAGAGCAGTGACCCCCGAGGAGAGGGTGGACGAGAAGGTGAGGGGCTTCCCAGTATGAACCAGTACAGACCAGTGACCTCCCAGTACACACCAGTGTACGCCCAGTGCCCCCCAGTCCCTTCCCAGTGTCCCCAAACTCTTTCCCAGTACATCCCAGTGCCCCCCAGTCCCCTCCCATTGCCCCCCAGTCCATCCCAGTGCCTCCCAGTTCCCTCCTAGTGCAGACCAGTGCCCCCAAACTCTTTCCCAGTACAGACCAGTGACCCAGCTGGTCACATCCCAGTGCCCCCCAGTCTATCCCAGTAAATCCCAGTGCCCCCAAACTCTTTCCCAGTCCATCCCAGTGCCCCCCAGTCCATCCCAGTCCCTCCCAGTCCCCTCCCAGTGCCCCCATCCCCCCCCTCACACCATGTGGTGGGGGAGGGGCGGCTCCCTGACCCCTCCCTCCCCCCCCAGCTGGAGTCCATCAAGGGGGACGAGAAGGAGGCAGAGGAGGGGGAGGACGACCGGGACAGCGCCAACGGCGAGGACGACCCCTGAGAGCCCCCCCGGGACCCCCCTGAACCCCCCCCGGGACCCCCAAAAAACCCCTCCCCCCACCCCACAGCCCCTCCCCCGCCGTGTTCGTGCTGTCGTGGCCCCTCCCCCGCCCTCCTCTTCCTCCTCCCCTCCCCCCCCCCATAGTTCGGTTCGGCCCCTCCACCCCCACACACACACACGCCGCCCCTCCCCCACCTCTGGCCCCTCCCCCCTCTCGGCCCCTCCCCCCCCCCATCCCTCGTTTAATTTTGATACCTCGAGATGACGATTAAAGGACGGATGTTTGTAAATAAAGGGGGGTTTTTTTGGGGGGG